CAGACAAAAGCTATTTTGCAGACTAGTGGACTTTGACGTTAGACTAAACTACTTTGGTTCAGGTGAGGGCACGTAAGTGGGTGGGAAGGTGGGAAGGGGGAGGCCGACAAGCAGGCTGCTTCTGGGGTTCGCTGACCTAAGACAGCTCAAGGCACCTTGTCTTGGAAATGGACCATGGTTTAGGTTTTCTTTCACCTGCACCGAGTCGGCTTCACGTGTTTCCTCCCTCCTCATGCCCCCTTGCTCTGCTTCATCCTCCCAACCACCACGGCTTTCTTTATGAGGTGTCCTGGGTTCCGTGGCTGCCGTGACGACCAGGGACGCCACTCACTTCGTGCTTTGGTCTGGAGTGAGCGACGGCTGATTGTCCCTTGCTCATTATCCCTGACCTGCGATGGACGTGACGTCCCTTGCTCTTTATCCCAGACCTGCGAGACAAGGAACTGAGTTCTGGCGGTAAGGGAAGTGGGGGCTCACCTTCCCGTGTTCCCAGAAGGCAAATGCAATCCCTGCAGTCCTTAAGGAGTCAAGCAGTAAATGGAACACGGCAAGATTGTCCGGGACTCAGGCTGTGAGGCTGTGTCTCATGCGGGGCTCAGAGAAGACGTTTCCGCTGTGGGGGGTAGGGGACTGGGGGGTGGCATCCAAGGTGGGGTGGCATCCAAGGCTCCCCACGGAAGAAGCATGGCTGAGCAGGCCATGACGGGGATGAGGACACACTCGGGGGTCAGTGGGGGATGAGGACACACTCAGGGTCCAGAGTGTGACAAGGACTCGCTCGCGGTCTGGAGGGGGACGAGCACACGCTCGGGGCCTGGAGGGGGGACGAGCACACGCTCGGGGCCTGGAGGGGGGACGAGCACACGCTCGGGGCCTGGAGGGGGGACGAGCACACGCTCGGGGCCTGGAGGGGGGACGAGCACACGCTCGGGGCCTGGAGGGGGGACGAGCACACGCTCGGGGCCTGGAGGGGGGACGAGCACACGCTCGGGGCCTGGAGGGGGGACGAGCACACGCTCGGGGCCTGGAGGGGGGACGAGGAACGGCTCGGGGCCTGGAGGGGGGACGAGGACACGCTCGGCGCCTGGAGGGGGGATGAGGACACGCTCGGGGCCTGGAGGGGGATGAAGGGTGTGAGGACATGCTCAGGGGGACATTGTCAAGGGCAGGGACAGGGTCAGGACAGACTCAGGTACCAGTGTCATAAAGGCAGGAACGGGGATGAGGAGGACAGACTCAGGATCACAGTGTCATACACAGGTGGGAACAGGAAAGACTTGGGAGGGCACAGTGTCTTAAAGGCCTGAGAGGTTGGGATGGGCACCTGTGTTCTCTGGGGTCCGTGTAGGGCTGGTTCTCATGTGCAGTGTTGTAGAGGGAGGCCTAGTCAGAGAAGGGGGCAGTTGCCCCATTCACACATGGGGGCAGACAAGAGGCGTCTGGGTCCACCATGCAGGATTGTGCCGTAGCCCCGGGCAGCACGGCGAGTTCCCTGGGCATCGGTCCAGTGTCATAAAACAGGGTGGGGGGGTGGCATCAGCCTCAGTCATGCCAACTTCCCGAACCCACCACGTAGCACGGTGAGTTCCCCGGGCATCGGTGTGGCATCAGTCATGGGGCGCCCATCCAGCCTCAGCCATGCCAACTTCCCGAACCCAACATTACATGTCTTCTGTGTCAAGGCACACGGATGTGCCTTTCACTTGAATTGAATTGTGTGTGGGAGTGTGTGCACTGTGGTGTGTGTGGCATTTTCTGGGGGGTGTGGCGTATGTGGTGTGTGCAGTGTGTGTGATGTGTGTGATGTGTGGTGTGTGGTTCATGTGGTGTGTGGTGTGCAGTGTCATGTGTGTGGCATGTGGTGCCTGTGTGGTGTGTGGTGCGTTTCTGGTTGGCATCTGGTACGTGTCATGTGGTGCACGTGCAGTGTGGTGTGTGTGTGTGTGATGCAAGTGTGGTATGTGGTTGTGTGGTGTGTGGTGCGTGTGTGGTATGCAGTGTGTGGTGCGTGTATGACATTTGGTGCCTGTGCAGTGTGTGGTGTGTGTGTGGTGCCTGTGTGGTGTGTGCTGCATTTCTGGTTGCCGTCTGGTACGTGCTGCATGGTGCATGTGCAGTGTGTGGGGTGTGTGTGGTGTGAGTGTGGTGTGTGTGGTTTGTGTGGTGTGTAGTGCATATGTGGTGCAAGTGTGTGTGTATGTGTGTGTTGTGTGTGCCTTGTGTGTGTTCTGTATGTGTTTGCAGTGTGGTGTGAAGTGTGTGTGTGCGTGGCGCGTGTTTGTTATGTGGTGTGTGGTACATGTGCGTGTGTAGTGTATGGACATGTATGTTGTGTACGGACACACAGTGTGTTTAGTGTGTATGGTGTGGTGTGTGGTGTATGTGGTATGTGCTCTATGAGGTGTGTTGTATGGTATGTGGTGATGTGTGGTGTGTGCTGTATACTATGTGATATGTGTGGTGTGGGCTGCGCGTGGTGATATGTGTGGTGTGTGGTATGTGTGCTGTGTGCAGTGTGTGGTGTGGTACATGTGGTATGTGGTGTGTGTTGTGTGCTATATGTGATGTGTGGTGTCTGGTGTGTGTTATGTGTTGTGCGGTATGTAGTCTGTGTGGTGTGTGGTCTATGGTGTGTGTGTTGTGTGTTCTGTGGTGTGTGTGGTCTGTGGTGTGTGGCATGTGGTGTGTGGTCTGTATGGTGTGTGTGTTGTGTGTGTGGTGTGTCTTGTGGTCTATGTGATGTTTGTGGTGTGTTGTGTGTAGTGTGTGAGGGTTCTCACAGCCCATGGTAGGATGGAGGCTGAGTGTGAATTGAGGGAAGGAGCTGTCCTGGCATCTTCCATGGCTGTCTTGAGGGCTATATCTCCCTCCCCCGCCCCGCCCTCGCTGCCCTCCTTGGGGTGATGGCCTGCGCCTGCTGCTGGGTGGCTCGGCTGTGCTGGGCCTGTGCGGATCCCGTGCGGAGACGTCCCTGCGCTGGTGAGCTTGGGGTTCCCATGCCCCTGTGCATGGTGTAGATTTGTTTTGTTTTGGATTTAATGTAGATATAATTTTAGATTAATTGACTCCCAATGTTTAACTGTGATAATTTGTCAGGGAACTATTCTTTACATAATTCTTTTGGAAAAGATTAACTGCGGGTGTACTCTGAATATTCACACGTCCCGAAAGTACCTGCTTTCTCTCAAACTGTGTCCTTTGGCCAGGTCCATTTTAGATTAAAATGCTCTCACAACTTGAAGAATTGCTTTATGTTGTGTTGTTTTAAAACACGGATGCAGTACAATGTGTAGGTATCCACATGTTGTAATTAATCTCTTTTGTTTAATCCTGAGAGCTCTTGCAGGATTTTGCTCTATATCCTGTAGTTCACCTTTTCACTGGCATGGATGTGTTTCCTTTTCCAATCGTCCTTTCGGGCCCTCGGTGCAGTGTTCACCTGAAGGCTTCCATCTTCTCTAAGTTCCTCACTGTTTTGTTTCTCTCACGTACTCTCCATCTTCCTCTTCTGAAATCCCAGCAGATGATCACGTGTCTCCAAGTTCAAGGCTCTGCGCCACTGAGGACTCCCTCCCCTCCTCTCTGCTCTGAGATCTGTGATCATTCCTTCAGCGTCCACGTTACCGCGCCACTGAGGACTCCCTCCTCTCCTCTCTGCTCTGAGATC